CCCCAACTCAAAAAAAAAAAAAAAAAAGAAAGAAAATACTTCATATCAACACATTTTTCTTCAGTGCACATACACTAAAGATAAATAGGCATTGATCTGAAAAAGAAAAATGAAAAATTGTGAAGCTATTTCATAATTTTCAGATAGCTATAATGCCTTAATACCATCTTAACCTTGCTCTACGTGCCAACTAGGTATTCTGATATTCTAACATAGTGTCATATTCTAATGATAGTGATTTAGAGTTTGGATAGCAACTAATATATGTGAAGATGCTCTTTTGAGAGTCAGTGGGTACTGCCACCTCCCTCCACATCATTGCCTTTCCCCAGCACCACCCCAGTATCTTTAGACTGATCCATTAGTAAGTTTAATGGTGAAAATGTACATCTAGAAAAAGGAAATGGTAGAATAGTAAATTGTTGAGTGAGAAATTTGGGGCTCGGAAAGCCTTTTGCTGTCTGCCAAATTACATTGTATGTAACCAAACCTGTTCTTTATAAGCTCAATTTTGTGACATCATATCATCTTAAAGGACTTCTGAGTCTTGTCAACTTTTTTCCCTATGTAGTGAACCATTTATAATATTCTCTGGTGGGCTCTCCTATGACAAAGCTTGCAGAAGACCAAGTTTAACCATCATGCATGGAAAAGCAATTACAGTACTTGAAATGGATCATCCTATTGTTGAATTTCTAACTTTATGTGAAACACCCTATCCAAATGGTGAGTAACTGAAATGTAACTGTTAATATTGAAAAAATCATTTTTGAAATGACAAGTTTCTAACAATATTAAGGTTAAATAATTTCAGTTTTGGCAGTAGATGTTCACTGTGGTATAACACTGTGAGCTAGAGGTGCTGAAGCTGGTTCTGTAATTTTATCTACTTGACAAACTGGAAATAAGACAGATGTAGTGCAGCAGTGCTGGAATTTCAGGCTCTAATATCAGGTAAGAGTTGTATGGTTCAGAGTAAATAGTGTACTAAATTTTAAGCTAGTTAAATAGTTGATGACTGAAATAGTCTTGCAAAGATTAATAGATAAAGTAGGATTTAGGTAGACCTGGAAGTATATTGTGTAAAAGTTTCAGAAATCGTGAAGTTTGCTAAGATGAGTTCAATTTAGAGAAAAACCTGAATGCCTTTTAGAGGTGTTTAAAAATAGGAAGCTACAGAGGAATTTTGAGGAAATACCAAAATGGAAAGAAAATCATAATTTTAGTAATATTTGCCCAAATGGAGTATGTGGATTTGAAGAGAGAGACACTGAAACAAGAAATTCCAGATTTCAGCTAGGAGGCTTTTGCAATAATGTGTGCTTAAAATGGTCAAGGCCTGTAACAGGATGCTTCCTGAAGGTAAGCAATTAGGAAAAGCCACTGAATTTGGTGAACCACTATATTAGGGAATGACATGATACATGAGTCAAGGGTAACTATATATTTAAGAAAAGCAGCTTTATGTACAGTAATGTAAGTTTTTAGAAAGAGAGAAAGATAAGTCTGATTTTTGAGTCAGTAGAGCTGTTTAGAGAACAGAAAAAGAAGTAGTCTTACAATATTTATTTATGAATTATTAGAATATACATTTTCTTTGGAGTTATGAAAATGAATGATGAAGGAATAAGGGAAAAAAGAACAGGAAGAACAGGGGACCAAAAGCTGAGTTTAGGAAAATGCCTCCTATTAAGAGCATTGAGGAAAAATGTACCAGCAGTAAAAACTGAGAATGTGTGATCTCTGTGTATATAAATTTCTGCACATCAGTGAAGATGTTAGGATAATTTCTAAGAATTTTCAATAAAGTATAGATGCGGTGCAACTGTTCTTATTTGCTTCTAAGCCACATATATTAATCTTTACTTTTCAGGAAACTGGTAATGAGGATGGAACTTTTTAATGGTCAAGGGCTAGGAGAGGTAGTTTAACTGTATCAATAGTGCAGGAAAGGTTTCTGACCATATACCCATTCTAAGAAGAATCTAGTCCAAATCAGTAACCCAGAAACCTTCCTAATATAGCTCTTCACTAGAGTTAATCTTTTCAGGTAAATCACATCCTTGAGTGTTCCCAATTATAATGTATGGGGTTATCCTTGATAATTGCATTGCCCCAAGATTCTCAGGTAGCCTTTGGGGAGCAGGGTGAGTTGTTTTGGTGAGGCCAATGGAATAGACGGGAATTTGGGTAAAAGTTGTTTCTCTGGCCAGATCTCCTGATGAGGATAATTCAAGTATTATTTCCCCCATTTTTGGGAGAAGGAAATATGGGTTTGGCAGATTTCTAAGAACTTTTTTCCCATGAGATGTATGGGGACTGATGGGATAAGCAGAAACAATGACTGCCAGTGAGGCGTCCTAGTCAGTGGAGATAGATAGGACCCACTATACATCTGTTGGCTCCCGACTGTTGTATGATTTCAGAACTCTGAGAGGGATCACTGAAAGTACACCAGGGTTAAGGATGACTACAAAAAGGGCATTGGACCATGGCAAGTTAAATGCCACACAGATCTTTGCCAATTGGGCTTTTATTCTGAGTGGTAAGCACAATGGAGAAGTCAATAAATAGACCAAATTTTACATTTTGAATTTTTTTCTGTAACATGATTTCCTCGGTCACTATCAAGCTCTTGAGAGACTTCACAGATTGGTATAATTTTTCCAACAGGGCCTTAGCTACTGTTGTGGCCATGGCGTCTTGATAAGGAAAGGCTTCAACCCAATGTAAAAACATGCAAACTAACTAGTATATAGTGAATCTTTGAAAAACAGTAGCTGAATAAAAGCTTGTTGCCATGTCACAAATGGACTTTTTGGTAAAGGGAAGTGGAGGCATGCAATAGTTTTCATGTATTGTATTGTGGACACATTTTACACAGGCATTAAGGCCATGAGCTACTCAGAAGTCAAAAACTGCAGTCTATGTATATATTGGCCATTCTATCTTTAGAAAAAGACATGCTCTAGTAAGAGCATGCAGTTTTGCCTGTTGGGCTGACCTGCCATCAAGAAAGGTAAGTAAAGTGGCAGAATTAAGCAAGCTATAAAGAGAACCTTAGTTTGCTAGGTAGCTTATGATGTGAATTCAGGAGAGCTCCAACAGAGTGTGTAACATAGACAGTGACAGGTGTCTCCATAACTTTCTTCTGTATGGTTTTTTAAAAGAGAGAATATCAACTGCTTTGAGACAAAGGGATCATAGTAACCTATGTTCTAATTTGTCCCCCATTCTGCTAATTCCCCTAGTTGATTTGATTTAAGAAGAGGAAGTCTCAGAATATCCCCAGAACATTTCTAGTATGGATGAAGGGAATAGGATCAGGAGACTCCACTGGGATTCAGTTATAACAAAATATTGGAAGAGCTTAGGAGAATTCATGATTTAGTCTAGTCTGCGAGCAGATAACATAGACTTAAAAACAATGCACAGGGTTACAGTGTGTACTTTAGCTTTTTTTAGAAGCATACATTTTTCTCTCCATATGGATCATAAAAGAAATCTCAAATTTTAAAACCTCTTTAGGATAAATAGTCAGGCCAAGACAGGCTTTACATTTAAACTCTTAACGTTCATGCTTGGAAATGGCAGGTTTTACTCATTGTAAAGATGGGAATTCTTGAAGCCAGGCACTTTATGCATGTTTTTAAATGTGACACATCAGTCTGAATCTTGCTAATATAACCAATGTTTCCAATTGTATCCTGGTTTTCAAGAATATTCTATTGAATATATATAAATAAAAATAAGAATACTCATGATCGTTTCTGAACTTTTAGAGGAATCAAGTAGACAGAGAAAAAAAGCAAATACTTCCACCTTTGTATACAAAAGTATACTGTACCAAAATTCTGCAAATTATAGATAACTTATGACAGAAAATATCCTTGAGTCTGGAAAACAAAACATTTATGTTACAAAACATTATTCTTATAAATTACTTCATTTCATGTAATTAATTTTGTTTTGCTCAATTTTGATTAGCAATTTTGGACTATAGCTGATTGCAAATATTTCCAGAGAATAAAGAATAACTGTGGATTACAGTTCCTGATTAGGCAATCAATAACTGTGGATGACAAGAACCCAGAACAATCAGAGTCAAAGAGCTGATGAGAGTACAATTGACAAGAAAATTTAGATATTTTGGTGGCCTACAAACATATAACAATAATCACAATCATGATACATATTTCAGTATATCAGAATTTTAGAAATCTCATGCAATTTCACATTTTAATAACACACACAAATATAACTTAAAGGAAAGTAAACACCATTTTTTATTTGACAGCACTTCCCATATTATTTACCAAATAAGCCTATTTAATACTTATACAAGATGAGAGATATACCCTTTTAGTGTTTTCAGAGGTCCATTTAGAAAATATCAAAATTAGGCCAAATTTTAATATTTTAATTTAATTTAATATTTGGATCCTGGAGAGACCTGCCAAAGATGTCAAAAGGTTTAAAGTACTGCCTTTAAAAGAATCATAGGTCACTGCTAAATAATAGTTACTTATTCACTAAGAGTAACGGTAACAATTAAAAGACTTCAAAATCAGTACGGAAAGTTACATGGATATAAAAATCTTAACTATTTAAAGCTCAGTTTTCCCAAATAGTTAAAACCAAACCAGGGCAACATGAAGCATAGGAAATTACCTAGGTAAAATACAGAATCTATATATCCTAGGAGCAGGGAATATATGGTTCTTAATAACAGCATATGAAGTCATGGTTATACAAAACAATTCAGATACATCCAAAAAATCTAAGCGTACAGAGTCAAGTTATACTAGAGTGAAACATTGCCTCTCTAGACCTTCAACCTAACTTAAAACCAAAGAAGCTAGGCAGTTATTAGGAATAAATGTGGCAGAAGAGAAGAAAGTTAAATAAACAGATTTCAGAATTAAAAGTCAAAAGTTCTACTATCTTATTGAGAGCAATTAAAATTTTAAGAAACCCCTGTTATTTTACCATAGGGGACCAAGTTTTTAAGGCCTGTATTAGTGTGTTTTAACATCAGCTTATTCTTTAGAAAGACTGTTACAAAGAATTTCTTTTAATTATAGCCAGCTTAATCACACCCAGAATTTCCTTCATAAGTTTCTGGTCATGAACCTTACTACATAGTTTATATACAATGTGTTGAGACCTGCTGCCTTGCCCTATACTTACTTTTTTTCTTAAATAACCATTCATTTTACTCTAGGGCAAAGATTTACTATACAAGATATTTTTCCCATACAAAATTATTTCTCTTTTTCTTTATATTTATAACTTTTTTTACATCTCTCTCCTACTTACTGGTTACTTTCTATTTTTTCCTATTTCCTTCTTTTTTAAAAAAGCTATAGTGACTTTATTTTTTCAAAGATGTGGGGTACAATTCAGGATTACGTATACAAGTGGTCATCGTACAGGTAAAGTTTGGGCCTCCCTTTGGTCCCCACTTCGCCTGGTTTGAGATCAGGTATCCTTATTATGGTGTGTCCCTCCCATCCCCTGGCAGTATCCCACTTACTATTTCCTTCTTAAATCCATATTTTGAACTTCCCTTTAAATAATCTTAAAATTAGACAAAATTATTATTTTTCTCAATAATGGGGGTATATTTTATTCCTTTCTATCTTTTTCTTTTATTAAACATGCTTTACTTTTCACATACTTTGCATAAAGAATTACATATTAATTGGAATTTTTAGCTCCTAGTA